GTAAAATATATAACTGGATTGTAAGTTTTCTTGCAAATAGGAAACAAAGAGTTGCTATTAGTAATACAGTTTTAGAATGGGTATCAGTTACCAGTGGCGTGCCTCAGGGTTCCGTTTTGGGTCCAATGTTGTTTCTGCTATTCATAAATGACCTCCCAGAAGTTGTGCTAAACACATTTAAAATGTATGCTGATGATAGCAAAATAATAGCCATAGAATATTCCATTGATAAACAAGTGGAAATACAAACCGACCTTGACAACATTGTGAAATGGTGCAACAATTGGGGTATGGAACTAAACTGCAAAAAATGTAAGGTGATGAGATTTGGCAATCAGAAAGTTTTTCGAGGTATTGATAAAACATACACAATGAATATAAATGGAATGGTTTATGACCTCTCAAACAGTTTATTAGAAAGAGATCTAGGTGTCTTTGTACAACCGGATATGAGATGGAAGCATCAAACACAAGTATGTGTTAACAAAGCTTCAAAAATACTGGGGTTATTGAAAAATGCCTTTGAAAGTAGAGATTGTTATATGTGGAAAATTTTGTATACTACTTATGTGCGACCTCATCTTGAATTTGCGGCTCCAGCGTGGAGTCCTGCGAATGTGGCCGAAATCTCAATGCTTGAAAGAATTCAACGTAGGGCCACAAAAATACCATACTCAAACCGAATGCTAAGTTATGAGAAACGGCTAGTTAAAATGGATTTAATTAATTTAAATCTCAGAAGAAAACGAGGAGACCTTATTCATTTATATAAGATATTAAACAATCTAGAATTTGTCAATCCTAATGTCAAACCAGTCTATAAGTCAAGCATTAAATTAGATGGCCCATGTTCTTCCATTAGAGGTCTCAAACATAAAATTAGAATGCAGTGTTTTACTCCTCGCGAAATAAATGACTTTCATGCATCGGTTAGCTCCAGAATCCATTTCTTCACAAACAGAGTTTGCCAAATTTGGAACAAATTTCCGGAAAAAGTTGTAGATTCGGAGAATTTGAATAGTTTTAAAGCAAGTTTAGACGAATGGCTTAAGAAAAATAAGAAAATATTAATTTAAAAGAAAAAGAAAAAAAAAAGAACTGGGCTGCTATAGCTGAACGTTACAACGTCTCAGCTTGTGGATAAGATCCACGCAGTTTACCACTAACTAACTAACTAAAAATAAATGTTTTAAATATATACTAATTAAATTGTCAAAATTTTAAAAGTTTATGATAAATTATAGATTTTATTAGTATATTTATTTATTGTTTATTTATAAAGTATGTATTCTTTATGTAAATGTAATTTTGTGTATATGTTTTTTATCGTAATGTATCTTTTAAAGCAATTTTTATGATTTAAACAAGACTTACTAAAATATTTGCGTTTTCAATGTAGTTATAATCGTCAAAGTTAATAGAACTAAGTAACAAAAGTATATGAAGTTTCTGGTTACTAAACACAAACAATGCATACAAAGTAACTCGCGAATGAACAAGCACCGCGCCTGAGGTCACGACAGAACACAAATATTATAGCAAATAATTAGATATAAAGAAAAGTTTCTAGATATTGGTTTACTAACTCTAATTATTTTCGCTTAAGTTGCCATTCTTAAAACTCGTTTTACTTTTTTCTGCTTTAAATACTAATTAAAATTAAAAAGCCCACTCACTAAACATCATCAGCAATATTGTGAAGCAGTTTCGCTTCCTTGTCATAAAGTATTTTTAACCTTTTTAGTTGATTTCTATCTTGTTAATTTAATTCCTATAGTAATTCAATGATTTAATTATTTCATTTGTTTATCTTACTAAGAAGAATTGCTTCAAATATGTTAAACTTTTCAAACTACGCGAAACATAAAATAGGTATTAAAAAAATTAACTTTTTTATTTATAAAATAATTTAGTTTAAATAAAACTAAAACTTGCAAACTTTGTTAAATAAAGAATATTTGTTTCCTTTTTAAACAATCGTAAGTTGTTACTTTATATAAAAAACATTGCTTAATTTTATTTAAAAAATTATAAAAGAGCGATGTTTCGAAAATATTTGTTCTAAATATAATTTATTTAGCTTTAAGTTTTTTCGCGTTTAAAGATATTTTATTTGCCTAATTTTTTTTTTTTGCAATTGTCTCTCATCGGTCCAATTATTCTTTTGCGCTTTTTTTTTTTTTTTTGCTATTTAAAATGTTTTTAAAATGACTAAAAAATCTGGCCAGCTTTTCGCAACTAAATATTATTTACGTGGTCAGCAATGGAGAGCGATCGCTCCCGCTTCCCGACCAAGCCTGATATATAAATATATAATATATATATATATATATATTTATATTTATATATATATATTTATATATATATATATATATATATATATATATATATATATATATATATATATATATATATATATATATATAAAATGTCCGATCAAAACTTTTAAGGGTTGAACAATGTTCGATCAAATTTTAAAATATAATTTTGCGTGTGAATACACGTAACTGAAAACGCCTAATTTTTTTTTTTTGACTATATGACCACAGCTGTTTTGATGTTTTAATAATTTAAAATGCATTAAAAATAATTTTTGTTACAAAAAACTTTTAATCGTTGATCTTTTTTAAAGTTTTTATTTTACGCTAAGGCTTTAAATAAAACCAAAAATTAATTGCAATGATCGTTTAAAATAAATGCATTATGTGTAAATTAAATTTTATATTCCTTTTATTTTTTTAGACGGTATGTTTTTTTCAGAATTGTTTTGCTTATTCTTTAGTTTTTTCAATATTTTGCCTAGTTTAAGCTTAGCCTATTTTTTCTTTTTTCAACGCATTTCTGAAATGTTTAAATCATCAAAACATCTTAACAGTCATGGCCAAGTTGTATTTATTTATAAGTATTTATTTTGTTGAATTCCATTCCTGTTGGTCAAAATGTCCGATTACTTTTTAAGTTGATCAGACAATTTGAGGTTTTAGCCGGACAATGATCGATGTCTGACTGCTAAGTTGAGCTCTGTATATATATCAGGCCTTCTTGTGGGAGGCGTGCGATCACACACCTTATATGATCACGCATATAGTTCTTTGTTTTAACAACTTGCAAGTTTTGATAATTAGCGCGTTTAAAAAATGCGCTAAAAAAAAAACAAATGTGATTTTTAATTTAATTGATTCCATAATTTCAATTAAACTTAATTAAAGGCAATCATAAAAAAAAATATTCAGATTAGAGTTTAACACAAAATGAGTACAGAAGCTATCAAAAAATAATTACAAACCATTTTATCATGAAAATATAATTTCTAATTAAGAAATTATTTACTAAAAAAATTGAATTACAATAATCTTGAAACAATCGCATCTGCCAACTATTTATCGTCTAATTTAAGAGATTTATGTCAAATAAAATTCAAATAATTTTTATTTTAGTTAATAAGTTATTAAATATATCAAAGATGCTAATTTAATTTCTTTAATTTTTATTTTTCAAAAATCTTTTTTTTACACATTTGCAAAGTGCGCGCAAATTAATGATAAATGCTCAATAAAAAAACTTTTAAAAGTGCAAAAGTTTTAATATGCAAACAAACATTATTTCACTTTATGGAAAATAAGAAAATTTAAAAAAAGGCATACTAAATTTTATTTATAATGAATACATCTGCTCTAAACTTTTAATGTAATGCTAAAAATATAAAAGATCGTTAAACAATATGATCGTTTTTCTCAATAAAAGAAAGCAATTAAAATGTTTGAGCATGGTTTCATTTGAAGTTTTTGCAAAAGCATTCATTTTAATTAAAATTATGTATGCATTTGTGAGCACATGCAAAAACCATGCAAAACATAATTACTTTTTTCTATATTTAGTTATTTTACTTAAAAGTGATGCTATTGAAAAATGTACTTATGTTTTGGCATTAATTGTCTGTGATTTGTCTTTGGCAATAAAATGTCTGTGAAATTAATTGTTTTTCATATTAAATATGTGTTTTTTATAATAAATAAAAAACTGATGATTGCAAAATATATTTTGAAAAAAATTGCTGAAGTGATATGTTCGCTTTGAAAAATCCTAATCAATCAGCAAACACATTTCTTAAAAAACAGACAGAAAATCAAACATCACGTTTCTTTAATTTTGCATAAGCAAAATTAAAGATTTGTGATGTTTGTTTTTCTGTCTGTCTTTTAAGAAATGCGCGCACTTTTGTCGATTTGTCGCACCCTGTATTCTATTAATTTTTTAATAAAATTTTAAACTTGCACCACAAAATTTTATTAAATTTCATGGCACTTTTAAACAGCCTAAGTTACGTTTTTAAACATCTATTTCTAAAAAAATAAATAAAAAATCTGAGGAGAGGGGGGGGACCCTTTCCCTCACAATGGATTCGCCTTTGTATTAGCCTAATTATTCATGGGAAGGAATGATAAAGATTATTAGAGCTGTGATAATTTTTTTTTTACTTTCATTTACAGTTAAGTTTACATTAATTAATAAATGTTTTGATTTTTTTTTCTGGTTTAACCTTTATTTATTTTATCATTCTTTGAGTATTTTATTTTTTTAGGTTAATTTTTGTATTATATATTATTTTAAAGATTTTATTCTCTTTTCATTTTATGGATTGTTTATTTTAATTTTAATTTGGTTTGTTTTTTTTTAGCGCATTTTTTAAACGCACTAATTATCAAAACTTGCCAAGAGCCGTTTTTTTTTATAAACAAAGAAATTTATGCGTGGTCATATAAGGCGTGCGATCGCACGCTTCTTACCAGAAGGCCTGATATATATATATATATATATATATATATATATATATATATATATTTATATATATATATATATATATATATATATATATATATATATATATATATATATATATATATATATATATATATATATATATATATATATATATATATATATATATATATATATATATATATATATACATACACACATTTATACATATTTTGTTTTAGCACCTCAACCTGTGCCCATTAAAAGTAAATTAGCAAATGTTCTACTATTAGATTTTCCAAATGCTAAGTATGCTTTTTATGTAGTTTTTTTAATAAAAATTAAAAAATTAAAAAATATTTACCAGGTGTAAAATATGTTTTATAAATTTGCTTTTGTTGCTGTTGTTATTGCTTATTGTTTTTCTATGTTATTGCTATTGTTGTTTTTGCTGTGCTTTTTTTTTAATTTTTTTGAACTTAATAATAGTTTTTAGAATTAAAAAAATGTTTTAGTTTATAGTTTTAAAACTTTTGTGAATATTTATGTTTATTATTTAAGTTATTTAAAATTTTTATATCAAATATATAAAAATATAAATATAAAAATAAAACATATTTATTAAGAGGCTTTAAATATCTATTTAAATTATTTAATAGGATGTACTAACAAAAATTTAACTGAATCTTGTTATTCAAAATGTAACAAAGATTATTTGTCACATCTATGAGTTTTTATTATGTTATCTACTACATTTTTTTTAACGATTTTATGTTGACACAACCTAAAAATTATTTTGTACTGACTAAATTCTTAGCACACAGTTCTGAAAAATTGTTTGTAACAATTTGGACTTTAAATTTTTTGGATTTGAACATATGTTCAGCAGCTTGCTAATAAGACTATTAAGAGTTGTGGAAACAGCAAGTGTTTTGCCTCTAAAAACACTTGCTGTTTCCACTGAGTTAAGTAGAAATGGTGATGAGGATGACTTGTATAGCTTCATGAGCTAAAGAACAGGCACAATGCCCAACAAACCTGGCACTTGTGTTAAAAACTGGAGAATTATCTTGGATCCAAAGCATCAAATGAAGGAATCTCCGAAGGATTATCTTGAAATGTGGAGTTTTATTTAAACATACAATGAGCATAGAAAAAGAATTTGATTTAAACATACAAAGATCATCAGAATTAAGCAGCTATTATGAACCATGTGATGCTATGTTTTTCAGGATGGCAAAAATGTAAACAAATCTTATACAAAAATAAAAACAAACAAGAACATAATAATAAAGTTATACGCATTTATCACATAATACAATTAAAAAATAAGTAATAAATATAAGAAAAATTTAGCAAAGAAAATTTTCCCAGTATATCTTTAAGTAAAATAGAAAAGTTGTGAACATATATAGTTAAACTGTATTATTGATTAAGCAGGTAATATTTTAGGTGAGGTATTTCAGGTAAGGTAGCAATAAATTGTTTTTTAATTATTTTCTCATTATTTAAAAATCAAGTTTGTATAGTTTATATCATTTGCATTATCGATAAACGTTATCCAGAGCGTTATAAAATACATAGTAATGTCACATCTGAAAAATTATGTTTCCACAAATAGTCTGTTAATGAATAAGCAAAAAAATCATGGTTTCAGGCTTTTCTAAAGGATGAAAACACTTTGTACCAAAACATTTTAAAGTCTGTTCCAATCATTTTGTTGGTGGAAAAAAACACTTTTTTTTTTATCTACTCCTGGATAAAAACAAAAAAATCAAGGCCTTCTCCAAAAACCAGAACACAATTTTGTATATCTGCTGGAACTCTTTCTCAAACTGATAGTTAAATGGGTTATATTATTACCGTGAAATGTGGTTATTTAAGACAGTGGGGTAATTTAGGACAAAAACTTTAAGTAAAACACTTTCTACTAGAAAAAGACTTACTCAAAATTTTTGTCTAAAGTTCACCTACTGTTCAAAGTAACCACATTTCATGGTATCTAAAGATTTAAGAACTTGATATTTTGGCCTTTCCACATCACAATTCGGGCAACTATGCTAAACTATTTTAAACAACTGTATTCAAAAGTGAGAATAATTACAGATTATTCTAAAATATTTTTTGAAACATCAAGTGCCCTTGATGTTCAAGCTTGTATATGGAGTGATCCAAAACAATGAATTACTCAAATTTTAATAGCAATAACTTCAAATGGAGCAATTTCATGACTGTCTCCCCTTTATGGTGGAGGTGCCTCTGACATTTTCAATGTCAGAAGTAGTAGCTTTTTTGATATACGTGAGCCCTATGACCAAGTTATGTCAGATCAATATAATACATGTATTAATTCAGCTTTAAAATTGAAACAGATCTTGCATTTAAACAGTGTTCACTTTGTAATACTCTAAGTGCTTCTAAAGGAATACAATTGTCAAAAGGATAAATTCAAGAAACATCAAACATTGTAATGTACAAGATTAAAAGTGATCAAGACTGAAAGTGAAAGCCTGTCTACATAATATAAATCATGTCTACATAATATAAATTTATAACCTATAATTCATATAACCTATTTCATTAATTTGATTCTTGTTTCATTTAAATCTAATATGTTTTTATTTGTCTCTTATCATTTTATTAATTGAAAGTTTTAACCTGCATAATATTTATATTTAAAATTATTTCTTTGTTTTCTATTTTTCCATTAAGGTTAAAAGTGAAATATTTACTATATCAGGCATCCTATACTTTTTGATTATTTGAAATTTAGGTAACATTTAAAATGAGACTATTCTCAGAGGCAGGTAACATTTTTGATGAAAAAAGTGATAATTTGTTGCCCAAAACTGAATAGCAACTCTTTTTGCACCACAATATTCCTAAATTTCTGGAAATCTTTACATAATTTATTACTGCCAGTGATGGGGTGGGGTGATCAAGTCAAAGGGCTTTTTCATTCTTAGCCTTCAATCATCGGGATTTTTTGCAAAGCCTCATTATTTGACATGAGTATAAACATACATATGTTTGGAGTTTGCTCCATGTCAGAAGTTAGCTATCTCAAACACCAAAAAATCCTGGATCCAAATTTACTGCAAGTAAAACTACATAATGTTTGTTAAGAATTTCGTATATTTTACCTAGGTTTACTTTTAGTTCTTCATTGCAATGTAGGACAATCATTTTTTTTATTTAATTTACACAATCTGTATCACATTTCTTAAAAAAAAAGGTAAAAAATAATTTCCAGCATTCCAGCCTGAAATATTGTAATTCCAGCCGGAACCGGGTTGACCTAAAAATTTCAAAATTTGCCCAAAACAGAGTTCTGGTACATCCCTACTTATGATCAGTATCTAACTTGATAGAAGCAGTAAAAATATTCTTTTTATGAGGGTATAAAATATCAGCAACAAGAGGAGTTGTTTTAGGCCTTCAGAACTGGTATTTCTAGAAAGAGTGTTAATTTTGGTATATATATTGTGATGTTTAGATGCGATTAAACTCCCCTTTCTCATTTAGAACCAGGTAATGCTTTTGGCTTGATCTTTTGTATCATATACAAATATTACAACTTGCTCTCCAAAGAAAAAAGTTACCATGCGATTCATAATTGCCACTTAATAACAAAAAGGTCTATTTGTAGTTAAAATCCAGTTTCACATTTCTAAGCAATTAGCTGTAGAACATTTATTTAGAATTAAGATGTGACATAAATAATTTTTTTTATGTAAAATGAATGATGTGTTATTTTTTCACATTTTTCAAAGAGCTATTTTTGTTTGAATTGATTTTCTGGCTATTAATTCAACATTTCTACATTGCTTTATGATTGTAATTGTTTTCATTATGTTTAAGAAGTTCAATTGTTGTATTTAATAGTTCCCCCACTCACACAGGAAAAGAAAAATGAAAAAAAATTTTTTTTCAAAAAAGAACATGTTTTTTAGCTTTATCCAAAATAATAAAAGTAATAGCTTATCTAAGCAACTTTTATGAACAAATAAGATGGAGAACATTAGTAATATGTACAAAATATACATGAAATGTTTAAAAGTTATTTTTTCCAAGGAACTTCAAATTCAAAAACTCAAATTTTCTTGATTCTTCATGAAGTTCCTCCATCAGTTTTACTGCACGTTCAGCAATTTGGTTAGATCTAGGAATATCAATGAATGACACATCGATTGACCAATGTGTCTTTAAACACTTAATTGCTTTCTTGCATTTTATATTGATGAGTGAGGTTAATAGTTCATTGAAGGATGCTTCATTGTAGTGTTGCAAATGGAATCAAGCATTTGCCTATTCGTAGCAGATGAAGTCGCATGCTGGAACGAGGGTGGTGCGCCACTCTGGCATCAGGAATAATGCTATAACAGCATATATTGCATGTGCGTTCCATCTTGCTTGGTGTACATTTGGGAGTTTCTTACAGTTTATTTGAGGCCAGCGTGAAGTTGTTTTGTAATGACGATGCGCTTGACATAGTTCATGTAAGAACTTGAAACCACTCTCACATTTAAAAATACCGAGTTTGATTTGGGTAGTCATATTTTTCAGCAGAACTACTTGGTATTCTTCTTCATGCACTCTTTTACCATCAAACTGGAGACAATATGGATCTTTGCCCTTAAGTTTTTGAGCAATTTTGGTTTTCATTTTCTGTCCTTCAGAGATTACTCTTTTCCAGACACCCGCCTGACTTGGAACCAGCCCATCGTGACCTTGTTTAGCAATGGTTGCGAGAACGTCATGTGCTTTTTGTGTAGAAATGTTGTTTTTCAATACTAGTAAACCAGCTGCTGTAGTGCTGGCTCTTTGGCATTTTGGTTTGTATTCAGGAGATGACGTAAAAGAAGAAGTTTGCGAATCGGGTGAGAAAACAGAAGTTTCAGAATCCGAAGAATCTGAGACAGTTTTATGTGTTTGTGTGGGATGCTATTGAGAAGAGCTGGTTTGGGATTGAGTTTTTGATAGTCGGATTCGTTTTCTTCTCAACTTGCCTCTGGTAGAGCTTTTTATCTTCCGTGTTTTTCCATTCTCCATTAACGTTGGTGACATCAAATAACTGAGAAAGTGTTGCAGTGAATTTATCAGATGGTTTCTTTTTGTTTTTGTTAAATAAATCAACCAGACTGTTGAGCTTCTTTCTTATAAGTGCGCTGGATAACAGTGGAAAGTCTAGAATTTCCTCCCAAAGCTTTTTTATATCTGTAATCATAATCTTGATTCGATCCAGTCGCCATTTCTCGCTATTGAACAAAAAAGTGAAGTTTCCAAGAATTTGACGGTTTGTCGGCATC